TAAAAGTTTTGAAATAAACGTGGTTTTTGTAAAGCGAGCGTTTGTTTTGATTTTTTTTACGTTACACCAGATCCTGGGTTTTAATTGGCCAATTGACCTCGGAAAATCACGTGACCGGAAAATCGATCCTACGCCCTGGTGTTGTTGGTCCCCGTCAGGGACTAGAATAGGTTCATGTAGTACGAAATTGGTTAATGAAAAAAAAAAAAAAGTCCATCCTACCACTACTCCTATCGCTACTGTTTACGTAACTTCCAAATCATTACCCAAGTCAAATCTAAATTCGATTTTTGTACGTAACATAACGAGCAATGTCAAACAATCCAACGGTAACGCTGTAAGTTATATTTCGTGCCTTTCTTTGTGCCTTTATATTTTATTGAAAATTCGTTTACTAGTATAGCTAATAGTTAAGTTCTCGTCTAATGAAACGCGTACCTATCAATTAATCCACAATTCGTTGATCTAATCAGATACCCTTTAAGTAGGTTTACTAAGTAAATTATTTAGTATAATTGTTTTCAAGTATTTCTTTTTCAAAACACCTGACGAACTTAATTCAAAATTTTCGCAGTAAATTATACCTTTGGTACCAAAGACGCACAGCCGGAAGAAGATCCTTCAGTGGCAGCACGTTTAGCGCGTTTACAAAATGATTATGCGGTAACCGGTATGAGACGGACTGTAGAGGGTGTGTTGGTGGTACATGAACATAATCATCCTCATGTGTTAATGTTACAAATTGCAAATTCTTTTTTTAAATTGTAAGTTAAAGCTTGCTTAAGATTTGATTCAATTCATAATATTACTTCGATTTCTCACATTTTATTCATAAATAGACCTGGCGATTATTTAAAACCTGGTGAGGATGAAATTGAAGGTTTAAAAGCCAGACTAGACGAACGTTTAACACCTGTTGTTACTGGATACAATAATAATACTTCGACTAATCAAGATTGGGAAATTGGCGAATGCTTGAGTGTGTGGTGGCGACCAAATTTTGAGACTTTTATGGTATGGTAAAAAAAAAAAAAAAACCACAGCTTATGATCAAAATGTGATTTACATATTTATATGTATTACATTAAATAGTATCCATACACTCCGGCACATGTAACAAAACCGAAGGAACAAAAAAAGATCTTTTTGGTTCACCTTCCTGAAAAGAGTACTTTTATTTCATTTTGGTTTCTTTTCAATATTTAACGTTCCAACATCTATTGTATATTAACAACAATTTCTTATCGCCCTCTCACCCAGAGGTCCTGTCTGTTCCTAAAAATATGAAATTACTCGCTGTTCCACTATTTGAACTCTATGATAATGCACAACGTTATGGCCCACAATTGTCAGCCATTCCGCACTTACTTAGCAGATTTAATTTTATATATGAAAAATAAGAAAACTATTTAATTTTAATAGGTAAGACATTTTAGGATTGTTTTCTGTATTTTTAACGATTGATAGATGCGAAAATTTTAGATTTTGTTAACCTATTTCTTAGATTTTTCATAGGATAGAAATAGGTAAATACTTTATAGAAAAAAAAAACAATTACCTTATAGTAGACTATTGAGACAAATGTTAAAAGGATATTTTTAGTCCAATTAAAGTCAAATACTGATCAGAGTTGGCATTTTACTATACTTTTTCTATTGGTACATAATTCTATTCATAAATTTTTGATATTAAACTTTATTAATTAAATATAAAAATATTTGAAATTTATTACTTTATTAATGCTCTAACAATATATATTTAAATAATAAATTATTAATAAAAAAACAAGTTTTTTATATATAGATAAAAAATTGAGCATTTGTTCTATTGTTCTATTTGCCAACACTAATCTTGATCTGTTTATATTACTCTTTTTTTGATTTTCTTCGTTTTCTTTTCTTTTTCTTTACTGAATTTTCTTCATGCGGTTCTAATTGATTCGAAGTTCTGTCATGTTCATTATCTTCTTCAATATCGATTGGATGTTTCCGCTTTTTATTATCCAACTCCTAATAGGAATTTTAAGTTAAATATACAATAGAGATTGATCACTTTGATTTATACATTGTACCTTATACTCTACGAAATCATCGCTAGATAATTCCTTTTTGTTAATTTGTGTTTTTAGAAGTGATGGCAAAGGTTTTTTCTTTTTCTTACAGCTCAAAGGATTAGGTTGTTTGGGTCCTTTACGAATTTTTCTTGGTTTATGAGGTTCAATATTCTTTTTTTGTGTATCAGAATTTGCGTTTCTCAGAAAGTTTAGCTCCTCAGCTGATGCATGGGTTTTTGCAATTTCAGTCTTTATTTTTAGTGAACGCCAAAGATTTATTAAATAATGGCATAAAGTAACTGATGGAACTAAAAAGGAGGCAATTTAATTGTCACATATCATGATATATAAAAAACTTGAATAAAATTGATTTTTTAATAGTCAATATCATGATATATAAAAAAACTTACATGAAATTGATTTTTTAATAGTCACAATACGTAGCAATTAAAGCAATCTCCTTTTTTAACCTTGGTTAGTCCCATCACTAACCGATAAATATTATGAAAAAAAGTCAATAATTACTTGTTTAACCTTTTCTAATGTAGCACCTGACGGTGGTTCAACAATTAATACGGTTCTATTAATATACAACAGTGGAACGCCAGCAATAACGCGAAATTGTTGGCGAAGCGTTTCATTCTGCGTTGCCACACAATAATTGTGAGGGTTATCATTTCCTATGTTTTTTCGTGAAGACATAATTAACCTTCTCGTAAATATGAGTATGAACCAAGACAATTAATTTTATTAATACCTATGATTGAAGCCAAACATTCAGCACTAGAAACCGGTTTTCTGTGTGGACATCGTCGTCTTTCAAATTGGTTTAAAGCCAATTCTGTCTCTAGACCTTCTTTGCCTTGCTTTTTCACTTCAGCCAGAATGCAGGAAGTATACACTAACCAAATGAAAACATTAATAAGAATTACCAATATTTTTTTAAAAAAGTTGAAAACATGTTAATGCATACTTTGCTTCGTATTCCCAAGCAATACCATGCAAAGTTGTTTGCATATGTCCATTTTGTATCGAATGGCAGTTTGCATAAAATTCCCGTCCACTTTTCAAAAAGCCATAAAAGTTATAGTCCAAATAGTTTATAGAGGAATATTTCAATTCATAAAGTGTTAGATACCTAAAATTTGATAAGGTTCTCTAAAACCAAACGACATTGAATATAACGCCATAAGGCGTTTATATTGTTTTGTTCGTTTCGGTCGCATGTTTTTTTTTTTAAAAAAAAAAAATTGTAAAGTTATCCGTCGATATCAGTTATCGCTAATGATATGATTGGTCGACTTTAAATGATTATCTGTTAACTGACCTTGCTTGGGGCAAAAGTTTCATTTTTGATAGGCGCAGATCATACCCTAAATTTAGATAGCGTTCTTGATGCATCATATCCCATAAA